AACAGCTTTAAACTCAAGGTGCAGCCTAAACGCCTAAGAGGGAAAAAGGAGGTGCAGGCACTTTCATTCATTCTGGCATGGAGCAGCTGTTTAACAAGACATAATCTTGTTATGAGTTCAGAAGAAAAAGGTAAGGGTAACATCCTACTGATGAAAACTCAGTTTTATAGAGGAATTTAAAAAGGCAGAAAGCAGATGTAGCCAGCAGACATAGCGGTTTGCACAGCAGAGTGCAAAGAATGAGGCCTCTACCAAATTCGTACCAGTGTCTCAGGCACAGTGGCTGTGTGCTGCAGGGGAATTTCCCCAGCAGATGTTGAAGCAGCTACCCTTGCCAGGGGAGAGGCTTTGACGTGGATGCAGTGTTGGGTGGCAGATGTAGCCCTTCAGGTCCTGGGTTGCACAAGTTCTGTGGATGAAGACCAATCTGCAATCTCATTGTTGCAGGGTGCACCAGCTCTCCCAGGAGGCTCTCAGTGTGTCAGTTAAAATGTTGGTGGACATCAAAACTGCAAGGCCTCCTTTCTTGTCACTAGGCTTTCACTGGCTCTTAAGAACATGGACTGAATGTCATGCTGAAGGCCTCAGAGGTCTGCAGTATTTCCATTGAACTAAAATATCCTATACCCTGTAGTTTTTTAACCTGATCAAATTGAGTAATGAGTCACAGTCTGCTGTTGGTTGAAATAAATTATAATCACAAGTTATGTGATCCCCGAACAGTTTAACCATCCCTGCAGAACTACTGCATGACTGGGCATCTAAGATGCCTTTATAGACTGAACTGCTTGTCTTAAGTGTAGTTCTGGACAGTCATTGCAGATCAGGAGGGTGACTTGGGAAGACAGCACTACCTGTTTGTGCTAAGGACAGAACTGATGCCAATACATAAAGCTGTCAGTTTAGCACATTTTGAAAAGCTTTAACTTTCCATTTAAAACACAGTTAAGAGAGGGAGAAAAGGCCAAGCAAGGTACTGTTGAAACCAGTGTTAAAAAAAGCAGCACTTGCTGTTTGGAAGATAAAATATATAATCAGGCTTTCAAGAATGAGCACTTAATTGCCTTAAGACTATTATAGAACTCATTGTTAATGTACCTAATCTGCATAAAATCTTTTTTTCCAACTAACTGTTGCAGAACACACCTAAAATGGGAAAGCACAGTCCTCCATCAAAGCTCAACTTACCAAGCCACCACTACAGATGTCTTGCATTATTTATAATGTGATTTTCTGGTCTCAAATGTCATTAGACACATATATACCATGTAGAAGATGGAACATATTTTAGTAATATCTTTGAAAGAGTTATTAAGGAGCAGAGTTTCTCTCAGGAAGCAGTGACAACGGCTCTAGGAATTAATTCACCTGCAGATCTCAGGGTGGTGGGGGTTTTTTTTACAGTGTGTGGTAATTCAGCTTCACTCAGAGGTTGCTTCTTTGGAGTCAGTCTCCGGAGTGTCTTGTGGGTCAGATTCTCCATACAGTACCCTTCCTGCACGTTTCACCCAGGCTCTGTGCATTGTACTGGTTTCTCTCTGTTTTCATGCATTGTTACCAGCAGTTGAAGATTTGGCAAGAATGGATTTCTTCACCATTTGTAGGTGATGGATCCTTGGGAAGCAGTGCTATATGGTGGTCACAGAATGGAGAGGAAATTGCAGCTTTCTGTTCTGCCACAACCAGCACTTCCTAGAAAAACGATCTGTCGAAGCTACCTTTCTGTCAACAGGGGTAGGCAGTGACAGGGTCTGAGCAGAGCAATGCTGTGGTCATGTAATGGGTCACATTATGGCCACACTTCAACTCACAAGGTGGTTTTGGCAGATGGATCCTTCACAGAGGGGTTAAAAACGGGTCTGAGGATCACTGTCTTGGCACTCCAGAGGAAAAAAAGGATTTGTGGCTGGGAGGGCACATTGGCAGGTAGCCAGCCACACGGTTCATTAGCTCATTTTGCTGCTGCCTGGGCAGGGCTGGGACCTATCCCGAGCCTGTGGTCACCACAGGGAACATGTGCAGCAAGTGTTGCCTTGCCAGGAGTGGAGATGGTGCTCCCTGATGTGGCCACAGCATTGCTCAGCATGCAGATTTCACAGAATACTGTTGAGTTGGAAGGGACCCACAAGGATCATCAAGTCGAGCTCTTAAATGAATGGACCATACAGAGGTCAAGCCCACAACCTCAGTGTTATTAGCACCAGGCTGTAGCCAACTGAGTTAGTGTCAGCACAGTCATACAGGCAGAAGTGTCTCATGGGAGCAGCTGATCTCAGTGGGAGCAGAGTAAGATATCCAGGTAAAAATGCAACTTTGCTTGTAAATACTTAGCCCATAATAAAAGTGTCTTATCAATAGAGCATTGATTAGTAATGCTATTAGTATTAGAGGATTTGAAATTTTAGGCCTCCTGCAGCTTTCCCACCTCTGATGGATTCCACTGCAAGCACATTTCACCCCTGGTCCTCTTCACCGTGCATCAGTCTAGAGTTTTAATTGGCACTGTTAGACAGAAGATATCCCCGCCTACAAATTTTCATGGTTTTTAAATCAGGGTTTTCAGAGGTTAGAAAAGGGAGAATTTATCTTGTTTGTAATTTGGTAAAGGATCTGAAACTGCTTTTTAGAGTGACACTTTCCTTAGAACATTTTAAACCAAGGTTCATACTCTGTATTTGTAAAACTGCAGTGTTTGCACATAGCACCGACATTCGCTCTAACAAAGTGAGATTAAAGACACATCTGTGATTTCCTCCTTACTCTTTTAATTGCACTGTATTTTTAACAGGATTTTGTGTACAAATTCTCTACTGATACAGTTCAGTATCCTCTTTTCCTCCATCCCTTACCTCTAGAAAAGAACAGAAGTCAGAATTTAGGAAAATAATAACCTATTTTATTATACAACCACAGAAACTGGGAAGAGGGAAAGGAGAAGACTATTCTAGATTGAGGGTTGATTGCTAAAATTATTTTAACTACTTTTTAATTGGCAAGCTGTTGAGATGTTATCATCAATGAAGAACTCATCAGCAAGCAGTATCTAAAGTGGTAAACATTTCTGTTGAGAAATGGAGTTCACGAAGTCTGTAACCATCATCCATATAGTGAAGAATTAAAACTAAGTGACTGGATCACACAAGGATTATCAAGGGTGAGGTTTGGAGCTAATAGTCTTTTTGTCCTTTGGCTTTTTCCTTGAAGACGTTCTGGAGGCAGGGCAGGAGGCATCTGCACAGCCTCCATCTGCCCTGCTTTGGGGCTCTCCAGAGCTTGCTTTGCTGTCAATCCCTGTTAACGGACTCTGAAGGTCCTCCTCAGTTTATAGACCTCTCATCTAATAGTGGCCACCTTTATAGCAGACCACATATAAAACATCTTTACGTTCCCTTGATGCTGATTTATGCTGTTTATAGGGATGGGGGTGGAACAAGTTGATAAAGATGAAATTGAAAGCTCCCCTAACTGCTATATTATCCACCTGGCATTCTCCAAATGCTACTCATTAATTACTAATGCCTCAAAAATCAGAGCAGTAATCCAATTCAAATTATTTTGTATCTCTCAGCGAGAGCATTTCCATTATCTTATCATTTCCCATTCAAACAATTGTTCTCTGCAGTTGTCAAAGGCTCAGACTCCATTCTGTTTCCTCTCATTTGAACCTGTTATCCATGCAAGGGTATTTCTACTCCATGCCTGTCCTGTCTTCATACTGGGGAAAGTTAGTGTGGGTTTACATTGTAATTATTACAGACTTACCAGTCTGCCCCTCCAGCTTCCCACAGAACTACATGTGTGCATCTGATGGCAGAATGTGGCCAGTTTATGCCATAACTTTCTTTTTCAGTTGGTGATCAAGTACTGAGGGAACCTGGTTTAGGACCTAGTCTGCCCTTGCAATCCTTATACCTGCAGACCTTTCTGTGGTCTGAGCAGGACAGTTCACAGTCACAGTCATACCAAGCCCCAGAGCCAAGCTCTCAACAGAAGTAATTCCCTTAAGACATCAGCAATAACTTGGCCCCATGGTGGCAAGGCAGGCTGTGTTTCTGGAATCACCAACAATGCTGGTCCTACATGAGCTGTATATTCAGGAATGATGGGGCTTATTTCTTGGCACATTTGTTCTTCACTTAAGTATATATTCATGCCTACCAGCACTCTGAAATGTAGACATGGAGTGTTGGGGGCAGGCTGGATGCAGTTTTTCATGCTGCTGACATTAATTGGATGAACAGGCCTTCTCAGAAGGGGCAGTGTAGGAAATGTGTATGGGAAAATGACAAAATAAGGAGTTTCACAGCTAAATAAAGACAAGCGGCTGAAAATGGTTTTTATGGTTTTGGCTTTCATATGTTTCATTTGGGAATCTAAATTATTTTGCACAACAAGTACCAAATTAAAATTCACAACACCTTTCTGAAGATAATTGGTCCTGTCTTGCAGATGGAGGAACAGAGGTACTGAGGCTATCACTTGAAAATACATCACCTGCTTTCAAGTCCCCAGATTGAGATGCACTTAAACCTAATTCTCAGAAGCATTAAACGCCTCCATTTATATTCATTCATTTGACATTGTTTGTATTTAGTATCTGGAAATCAGATGCATTGTCTCCTAACTTCAGGGGTCAAAATAACTGAAGTGACATGGCAAAGATCACAGATAACTGTAAGGCCAGAGTGGGATTGGGACCCATGTCCCCTTGTGCCGCATCCCTTTTTCACTCACTATCTGTCTTGGATTCCCGGACAAAAGGAAAAGCACATTCTGCTTACTCAGTTTTCCTCTGCCCTCTCGAACAATTGGACATTTTAGAGATGATATCGTTTGGGTTATTGATCAGCTTTATAGAGTCATTTTACCTTGTCCTTCTAACCATAAAGAATTGTCTTCAGACTTCTGTGATTAAGTTTCTTATTATAGAATTGAAATGGAAATGCAGTGAGAACCATTTGTATCACCTGTTTTCCCCCAATGTTTTGGTTTTTTTCCAGCACACAACAGTTTTGCCCTTTGTATTAATCGAGATGAGAACAACACATCATCAGTATCCCAGCAGGAGCTGTGGACTGGCTGCAGTGTGCACCTTCGCTGTTGGCTATATTTTATGGTAAGGGCTGTACATGCTGTGTTTTCACATTGTATTGGGGGTTTTGTACTGCTAAATTTGGGCACATATTTCATTATGGATATAATCACTAACAGATTCACGCTGCATGCCTCGTTTGGTCCAAGACCTGGGCTTTGTCTGGTTTCCCCAGATGCTTATATTTTTAGAAAGTATATGCCAAACCTCACACAACAGGAATTTGTTGAACAATCCCATGTAAGCAGTGGTCTTTCCAAGGGTACATTTTTCAACCTTTTTTCAGGCTAAATGTTTTTCTTGGACCTTAGTTTTATTGCTTAGGGTTTTTGTTCTATCACATAAAATTGAGAATAGGCAAATGATTTCCTGCATCAGTATTTAAGCATCAACAGAAAAGATAGAACACTCTTTTTTCTTTACTAGTTCATAAATTCTTTCTGTAAAATTGATTACAGAATAAGTCAGTAATCCAAACACTCTAAAATTTGTTTTAAGAAAAGAAAATATTTGTGAAAAATTAAACTAAAACAGAAATTATCTTTCTTATACAACATTAAATTAAGTCTTTTGGCACTTTCTAATCAAGCATCTGTCTTGCATGACAGAGTTAATATACTTTGGTGATCCTAGCATTTTATTTTTCACTAAACCTTTGTTTTATTTACATTGCTCCTTTGATGTGATCCATCCTTTATCCTTTCTGCAAATATTCATGACCCCCCTTTACTTCTCATGTTCTTTCTTCTCACCTCATAACAGCCCTCTCAGCTAAGAAGATATTTTCCAAAATTTCCACCAATCAAGTGAGATAAAACTAGAGTGAGAGGAACATGGGCTCAAGGCAGTACTATCATATTGCTTCAACTATGCACTTTGTCCCTTCAGTCCAGAGAGAGAGAGATCATTATTCATAGACATCCATGCACACCGAGTGATCATAAAATGCTAGTAATCCAGCTGAAGTGGGATGTCGTGTCTCAGGACAACAGTCACATTCTGCCATTTGCTTTTACAAACTTACATACCCTTCTTAAAAAAGAATAATATTTGTAATTGGAAGATAAGGGCAGCCTCATGCAAAAAGGCACATTATTATTCCTGCAGGAAAAAGTTATTACGTTTTTAACCCATATGTAGTAATGTTTAGCTGTGATATTTCTCGACCTTCCTCTGATGGTGCCTGGAGACAGGTTGGCAGAGTTACTGTACCTGTGATCTGATCTCCTATGGCAACTCCTTTTAGATGATTTCTCAAAATCATCTAAATAGACACATGAAATAGTATTTAATAAGAATATAAAATTGAAACAATCCAGTTCTACAAGTGAAATAAAACCAGAGGTGTCTTAAAATATTTTAAGAATCTGTTACAGTATCAGTGTGGTGCTCATGTAGCTTGATCCTGCCTACTACAGTGTATCTGCATCCTGCAGCTACAAGGTAAAAGGAAATTGTAGGACTAGTAAAGCAGGAGAAGATGATTCTGCATTCAGAAATAAACTACTACGCAGATACCCAATCACAGCCTATGATCCTTTGCTTTTGCTGTTTATTGGTTTTGCTTACACAAGTACTATTTTCAAAATAGATAGGGCTACTTTCAAGTAATTCATCTTTTTGTGATTTCTCTAAGTTGTGTGTCTCTGAGGCAATTGCTTATTCAGCCTAAAGGTTATCCTGCTAAATTCTTCACTTACAACCCATTTCTCCTTCGACTGTTAAGAAAGGAGGTATTTGGGGGAGAGCGAAGGCAGACACAAGCTACACTGTGCCATCATTTGCAAGTTCTGTGTGAATTCAGCCTGCAGGTGCAGAAGACTCTATCTTCTATCTGCAAACCAAACCTTCGCTTGATTATATGAATATGTTATATCACATTCACAGGTCGGAAAAATCTACCAGAAAGTATGAAGAGTAAGGGAGTTTTTATCCCTCTCACTCAGGGTGTGCCTACCTTTCACAGCTGTAGTTCACTGTCTTTCTGCTGCCAAGTGACCAGATTGAAGTAGAGACCTTAATCACTAAGAGGGCTTGGAATTGCTTAATTCAGATTTGCTTCCCTTGTTGGCAGAACCCTCAAGGTTAGCTCAAGGGTATTAAAATGAGACTACACCTGCAAATGACATAGTTATGTACAGCCTGGTAGAACTTCCTTCCTTTGTACCTATGGTTGTCCAGGGGTCCTCTGCTGGGGCTTAATTCTCGGTTTATGTTGTTTTAACTAGAAGTTAGGGATCTGCCACTTGAGAATTTGTCTTTTTCCCTGTGTCATTTTTTCCCTCAGCAGAAGTGTTTTCACTGCAACTCTCAGCAAAAGACTATTGCTAATCAGATATCCTCTATGTTTTGCTCTTGAGTTTTGAACTCTCTTCCCACCTCAGCTGAAACCTTCTTACCATGCTACGTTTTATGTATCGTGTTGCATTTTGTACTGTAAAGGAACATACAGCAGGATATTGTTTTGGATTGATTCTGTGAATGCATTTTTTTCAACTCCAAGTAGAGCAGAGCTTGTTATTTCATATGTGACTGAATCTTTCTCGTATGAAAAAGGCGGTGGAATAGCAAGCTTTTTTATATATATTTGGTAAACAAGAAAACAGGCAAACAATTCTGAATAGAAACACTGAAACTGGAAGAACATAGCTAAATAACTTAGCATCTCCTGAGCATGATTCAGAGACTTGTTATCTGAGAAACATCCTTTCTTGAACAGTAAAACCTTTTCCTGTTTTTCTTTCTAATTTTTTGCAGTCAGAGAGTATTTGAGCGCACTTAGCTCATGCACTCTCTGTGAGGGGGAGCTCTCCCATGCTCTTAAGGAGCTGTGCTCAGGCCATGCATTCACAGACATGCATTGCCTGTTGCAGACCATACATGGACTTTCAGGATTAAGGCCATGGGACAAGATAGGAAAGGCCTATTGGCTTTATTTAGCATGGCTTGAAAAAGTCACAGCTTGTATTGAATTGTTAAATCTAGACAGTGCTAAGAAAACCGAAGCGCTTGCCAATACTACCAGAAAATACTGCCAGTGGATGTATGGAGTGGTTGTCAAGGAACAGAAAAGAGCCAGAAATGTATTGCTCCTTGTAACAAGAATGACCTCATGGTAACTAATATCAGAGCCTAATATGTCCCTAAAATAAACTGAGACAAATACGTTTATTTAAGATGTTTTTCCCTCTGCTTTTGAACACTTTAGGATGTCAAAAGAACAGACCCTAAGATCCTGACTCCGCCACTCTAGTTGTGCTGAGCTATATGTTTGGGAGCAAAAGACTTGTTCTGCTCTCTTGTTGCTAACTCAAATCCACTAGGATATGCCTGCACATGTGCCAAGCTTGGACTTGATTAATTCTTTCATTCTTTGATAAATCTATTTAAAGATATTTTAAACTTTCATCTGAATATAAAGTTTCTCTTGAAGCGACTTCAAGAGAGTTTTCTAGATTTGCTGAGGGAGAAGATTTAGATGAGGTAATTTGCTGAGTTCTTTTTGAACAAATTTAAGAAAGGAATATATGCTGAGGATTTGGAGTGAATTTGAGATTGATTCTGCTAGCCTTGCTGTAGGATTTCCACTAGCAATTCTCCATAGAAGGGAGAGGAAGATCAGAAAGAGCAGCTGTTGGCGCAGATTGCTAGGACAAACCTTGACATTCAGAAGAGAGGGACGGAAAGTTAGAGAGTGAAGCTGGTGAGAATTGACAGTCATATTGATAAAAGAAGAGCATGATTGAGAAACCAGAGGATTTTTGAGGTTGCTGGTGCTGATGGTGCAGGAGAGACATAACATGGCTTTGCTAAGGTCTGCATGTAGGGAGAGGGTCATGCATGCTTTTGGAAGTGAGCACTGAGAACAGAAGTTCAATAGAGATTAGAGAATCAATGATTAGAGAAAAAAACAATAAAAAGTCCTGGGGCCAAGTAAAAGCGATGAACTAGAATTATGGGTTAAACAAGAAATGAGTAAGGAATGTGCAGCTCACAGGTCAGCGACTTCAAAGTTGAGATCATGCAAGTAAGTGGGAAATGCTGAGAGAGGGAGAGAGGGACAGACTTTGAAATCAAAGTGGAAGGCTGATGTAGAGGTGGGTGATAGATGAGACAATGCAGAGGAGGAGAAAAGAGTTGGAGCCAGAGCTGCCCAGAACAGGAAAGAGTAGGAAGAAACAGAAGCAACAGAAATAGGCCAGGAAAAGATAAGTGTCCTCTGTAGCTGACCCAGAAGGAGGGTGGGAGTACAGAAATGATTTCTTCCGTGAGAAAAGGCTGTATGGACCTGTTAGGTCTGATATAGCCGTTATGGACTGTTACTTTCTGGCTCCGCTTCACCTCCACATCCTCAAATGTTTCAGTCAAAGCAACAGTACAATCACAGATGACATGCATGGGTAATATGTTCTCAGTTGTGCAGCTCCTTAAAATATACCTCAAGAAGGCATAGCAACCATTACTATATTTAAAATGAAAAATTATTTATCAAAATAGATGACTTCCAGAGATGACAACGCTTTGCAGTGAATCTGCTAAGTTTCTGTCATTCTAGCTACCTGTACATAAACACAAATTTCTGCTAAGCTTTTTTCTTCCCAGAGGATGCCAGCACCATGTCATGCCAAGTATGTTTCTCACGTGACATTATTTTAACTGCAGTTTTCCAGGGCTTGTCTTCTTCTGACTGCATAAGCCACTCCAAAGTAGTAGCACAGTTGTATGACCATGTATTGTTCAGCACCACTCAGATCAATGGTGAAGGATTCGGCGTTAAGAAAATGGAAGAAGAGGGGATGATTGTTGTTATTTCCTATGTGATGACTGTATATTGAACTTATTTTTTAGTCTTTAAAATTTCTAAGCTATGTAAATTCCTGGTGTAGGTGATTTAGGCCTGGCTGGCCATTGTTACAAGAAGCCCAGAATCTTAATGTGGCTGAGATCTTAAGAATTCTGATTAGATGCAGAACAAGCTACCCTGTGTTTTTGTGGGGGTTTATGAAAATGTGCCTCACATCAATCAGTATTAGAAACCAAAAACAGAACAAATTTGGTGTGGGTCATTGTGCTCCAGTCCTTGAAAGCGCAGGATTGGTCCTACTGTGTAACCACAAATGATTTGTTTGTTCAAGTTTTGAGTGACTCAGCTGCTGTAAGCCCATCAACTCCTTTGGAAGGCATTCCACAGTTTAATAGCTCCCGGTAAAGTTCTCACTTTTTGTGGAGAAGGAAAAGAATTATGCTAGAAAAGATCATGGAATAAAGGTGTATAAAATGCCCATATTCTGTTGTTTGCTAAAGAGTAGCCACAATGAGAACTGGGTCCAAAGATTCAGCCTTCCTTTGTGCCAGTCGCTGGAAATATGAAGAGCACTGAAAATCTGGAAAAGGATTTGCTGCTGCAAGAAGTAACCAGAAAGGAACTGCCATAGTAAATCACAGTAGTCATGTATCCAGGCTCCAGCTATAGCTAATGTCAGATGCTTCAGGAGATTTTAGCAGGCCATTATGAAACAACCAGCCTGCAAGGGAAGTTTTCTTCCAAAACTTATGTCAAAAAGTAGATGCTTGGATCCTTTAGTCTTGGTGGTTTATATACTTCATAGGCTTTGAACTCTAGGCATAACTGTACATGTTCTTATTGCTTGTACAGTTTCCAGACTTCTGACACTTGCTAGAGTTGCATGATGTGGCCTAGAGCAAAGAAGTGGACTAAGTAGAATTCCAGACTTGTATACCTCAAAACTATTTTGAATGTCTTTATTTCAGTGATGTCTCTCTGAAAGACAGGTTAGAGCATTCCAGAGGTATTATTCCAGAGCATTCCAGGTATCATTCAGAGAGATATTTCCATTATCATATTTGAATTTCTTGTCTCTGAGTTCTGTTGAGAGGATTCTTCTGTTACGAGGAAGAGAATTGGCAGCTCTTCAGACATTTTATGTCATGCATTATTATTCTGTGTCCTCTCATCAATTGCTCTTGAAAAGTTACACAGCTCCTTATCTGATAGTCCTTGTTTCCAGAACACATAGTACTGATTGTTGGTGGCTGCAGATTATGATGAAGGACTCAAATTGGGCAGGAAATGGTTGGACACTCTCTTATAGTCCAGACAACAAAATGCTGACAAGCTGCGATGCCTGAGAGCAACCATCATGAAGGGGCAACCATTTTCTGCAACATGTGTCCTATTGCAAAATCTATGGGGTGTCATGATTATCTGCCTTTATATCCACATGGTGAACTTCATTCTACCAGGACTAAGGTTTTACACATGCTGTTGTAACAGCTGCATTACTTAAAGTGACAGGTAGAGTAGTTTTCTTCATTAACAAAAGAGCTATAGCCAGAGAAGAAATGTATATGTATCTTCTCTGCATAGTTTTAATTTTCTCCTGATTGCTTTGATAGGAGAGATATACAACATCTTACTGTATAGTAAGTGAAAACCAGCTACAAAGTCAGATTTTTTGACAGATTTGTTAAAAAGAAGCAATATTGTGCATTTTCAAATAGCTTTTTCTGATTTCTACACCAACTGGTTGGAAATTTCTGAAAACTACCACTTTTTTTAACAGGCATTTTAATTTGAATACAATGTGTGAATATTTCCATTCCTTCTCCTTTTACTGTTTCTACCAAATCTCTGAATGAGCTCGATGACCTGTAACATGTTCATCTTTGGAAACACACGGTTATGTCTACATGGGCTGCTACAGTAGCAAATCAGAGGGAGGTTCAAGTTAATTTTATCTTCTCAAAAGTAGCTAGTCCAGTTTTTGCTTAAACTTTTGCTCCTCACTCTATTTTTACCTAAACGGTCCATTTTTTATATGTGTTCGATAACAAGGTCTTCAAGTGGATCTAGATTTGCACTCCTAAGTAAATCTTAATGCATGCTTCCCTGTGTTTAACTAATGAGGGTGGACAGGAATAATGACTACTAGAATTGCAACATTGAAGGCATTCATTAACATTAGTAATCAGCAATCTTGTGTGGAAGCTTTAGGCAAATGGTTGATCAGCCCTTTATTGTGCAGCCTTGAGATGGCTTGTATTCTAGCAGGAACTAAGAAAGGCCATCAGGTGAGGTTTCCATGGCAGCAGTCCTCCCTTTACTGCTCTCATTTGTAGTATAGACAATGCAGGAGTAGTCAGTGTGTCACTGCTCAGTGGAGAGAAGATAATATTACTCCATCCCAATGTAGGGAGCGGCATGTTGCAGTTCATTTTAGGAAAGATCAGGTGGCTGATCAGGTGGTTTTGTGACTATTGTCTCCAAAGTGATGCTTGGTACCTCCTGTACTCAAAGCAGGAGTTCCTACAGTGTGACTGCACCAGGGACAGGCATACAATAGCAACACTGTACTCAGGAGCATTGTCACCACGCAGGAAAGGGGCTCCTGTGCTGAGCAGCAGGGAGCAGAGTGCATGAGCTGTACTTAAAAGCTCTGAACTAACCAAAGATTGCTGACATTCAGGAGCTCATCAGTGACTCATTGGTTGGATTTAGAAAAGATTTCCTCTTTCGAGCATAAATGCGTTCTAGTAAATGCCACTTCTACTTGTTTTGTGAAGTTGGCTATATACCTGCAATTTAGAAGGTCCTTTGAAAAGTCTCTCTGTAAAGGTGCTTAATAGCACTGGGCAGTTTCATCACACCAGAGAAAATAAGTGAAAAACAAGACCAGCTCTTTTTCAGTCTTTGTCTTTGGAGCTTGTTTTTCACAGAATGATCATAAAACAAAAGCAAATGAAACTGGAAACTGTTAGGTGATAATAGACATTTCCCCGCTAAGCCAGCCTCGTAGTAGGGGACAGCTCATTGCCCTCTACCCAACTGTCTCATCTTTTTCTTTGATCATGGAACATGGTGTCCCCTGTTACACTTTATTTTTTCGTAGATAACCTTAATCTTGTTGGGTTAATTCTGTCACAGAAGAATATTGGGGAAAATAACTGTAAAGTACAGAGATAATTTTCCATATGTGAACTGATTTGGAGAAAGGGGGTTTAATTTGCATTTAGATCGTGCAGATTAATTTACTGACACGTAATTTCCTATGTGAAGTGTCTAGCTGTTAAGGATTTGGCTGTAATAAAAGCTTTTTCAAAGAGGAGGGAAGCTATGACAAGCATGTACATTTCAAGGGTGATGGAGAATCCTTTTACAGGAATTCTGTACTCTCTATGTGACAGAATTTTATTTCAGTTTTGAGTGGACCTCTGTATCTCTGCCCTTTAGGAGCCTACGACTGCTGATCTAGTGATCAAAAATTTTTCTTAAACAAATAGAAATACCAGCAAGTGAAGCAAATCATAGGGACATGGAAATCCCCTTCTATAATGGGGATTGCAGCTGCTCCAGCTGTGCTTCACTGCGAGCTTCTCTCTCAAATTTCCAGGTCAGAAAGGAAGAGATTTGCATTCTTGAAGAGAGCCCAGCAGAGCCCCAGCCTGTCTCCACTGAGCACTTTACCCAGCTAGCTTCTGTGATGTTTGCTCAGTTGTTTGCCAGTGTTTACTTTTCTTAACTTCCACCTACTGAAACATATGGACTCACTCTGCTCCCTCTGACTTCATCACTCACCATGTCAGATCTCAACACAAAAGCTACTACATCAGAGGGTACAGGTGTTCACTACAGTCACAGCAAAACCACATACCTGAAGTGCTGCTTCAGGCTGCACTGCAGTAAAGCTGACAGTGTCTATTGGATTAGTGTACCAACAATCTTCTCTGTAGCTGAATGCTAAAAATCTGTGTCACCGGCAAACTCCCATCAATACTTTTTCTTTACTGTGGAATAATTGATTCTGGAGCTGGGCACTACTTTTGAGGTGGGTTTTGGTTTGGTTTTTTAAAAAAATGTTTATCCTACCTAGAGAAAAATTATTAGATTCCAAATGGTACCAGGTAACTGAAAGAGGAGCAATCTAAAAGACATTTGCTAAAGAAATTATTCTCTCAAAGAGAAGCTGCACCACATATTTCTTGCAAACCCCAAAACTGATGCGTTTGCCATGTGTAGTGAGGAGAAGCATCAGAAACATATAAATGTTTGTGAAATGAAAATAGGCTGCTGCCGAAAGTAGGGAGTGTTGATCTGTGTAGGAGAGCTTGAAGAACCCTGAATGTTCTTAGGATAAAGAACCTACCTGGAACAGAGGCTGCTGCAGTTTCCGGCTTTGGCTCAAAACAGGGGTTTCCTCGCAAATATAAATGCAGGAAGGAAATACCTGCCTACATCAGAAATAAAAACTGGCCAACTGCTCATAATAAATTTAAAGCAAAGCAGTAAGGATGTGGGAAATCAGTCATAGTTTCATCATCTGTGATGTCTGTTCTGGGTAGATGTCATCCAGATGCTCCAGTTCAGTTGGAACTTGCAGGCCTTTCAAATAATTGCTATTTGCGTTAGAGTAGCTAAGCCTATAGGGCAAGGTACTTTTGAAAAACAAGGCTGTAAGAGTCTGTGCTTGTTATTTTTGTTTTGTTTCAGGGTGTGCTGGATTCACCATGTTACAGGAGTGTGGGTGTACCCGCTTCTTGAGCACCTCAGCCCAGGTGTCAAAATAATCTTTTTTGCAGCTGTAACCATAATTATTAATATATTCTACTTGGTGGGAGAGGTCCTGAACAGCTACATCTGGGATACACAAAAATGTGAGTATTGTTTTAGGAATATTATCTCATGAAGTACATGGTCAGGACTTGAGGATGCTTCTCTGAAAATCTAGAAGGTTTTAAGCTGGCTAAAACAAAGGAGAATGACAGAAGTTCCACTGAAACATCTTAGTTGGCTTGCCCTTAAAAGCAGGCGGATTAAGAGAATGGCTGCTGAAAAGCCTGGTGAGCTCTGAATATGTATTCTTTTTTATAACTTAAAACTAATTTAAGAGCTCTTGGCAATTACCTGGGAGGTTTACAACCCACTTACTCGCTGATGAACCCATTAAATGCAACTAGAATAAAGTATCATTCTGTGTGAATGTTGTTAATGGCAAGCTTAGACTTAGAAATAAAAATATACTTTTTTGGTATTTTCAGGTAGAAGGTGTTTTCTGCTTATAAATTTACTCAGGGAAAATGAACATGTTCTTGTCAGTAAAATAATAGGAATGAAAGATCACCTTAGTACAGGGTAAACTTAACTGTGCAGACTCTCCATCATCCTGCCTAGGCCACCCATTGCAGAGGAAAGGAAAAGGGAAAATAAGACAAACACAAGATTAAAAGTAGGTTCCTTTAATCTAGGAAAGATGTTTCTCATTTATCAAATTGCCTGAAATAAGCAAATAGCATTCATAATCACTGCTCTGACAAATCACAACTAGAGTGAAATAAATGCACATGAGAGTTGATTGCACATACAAATCTTGTTTAGCAACTCCTTCAGTATGAGGTAGAATCTAATGGCAGAAGCTCAAAGCAGTTTTACTTGCCATTTGTTTGTATTAGCACCCAGGTGTAAAGCGTCTTTTTCTATTTGCTCTAGAACCAGCTATCCTAATGGTTACAGTCTTCAAGACTGGTATTCAGTCCACAGTTTGATGTCACATTCACATTTATCTAACTTCTATGAGTTAATTTGGGAAAGGTATTTCTAAAAAAGGCAGCTGCGAGGAATTATTGACCTAAGTCCTGTATGAAGGATAATAATGTGGTAAAGAATCACATGTTTTTAGCAAGTCCATGAATAAGCAGATGTTGGAAAATCTCCTGTGCTATTCCAAACTATGCAAAATCCCTCGTTCTTGTGGCCCACCACCCTAGAGGAGCTAACATCAATTGGATTGTTCCTCCAACCTCTTTCAAGGTTCACCATGGCCTTATTGTCCTCTCCCTCATTCCTTCCTTGGGATAAAGAATATTGATCCAGAGTCCTTTGAGGCTCAAACACTTGCAAAATGGAAAATGTCATGAGTCACCTGCTGTTTTGCTGTGCTTGAAACACTTTGCACGAACCTAACCTGAAGTGTGTGGCAGGCACACCACTAACAGCAGATGTAAAATGATGCCAGTCTGTCACTGTGTGACACTTGGGAAAATATTATTTGAAAACTGTACATTTAAAAGAGGCTTTTGAGCAGTAAGCCTGCAAATCAAAACAGTCTGCTATGAGAAAATTTCTGGGGTGAGAAGGGGTTGGTTTGGGTTTGGAGTTTTTTTTTATTTTCCTCTGGAGATGCATTAAATAAAACCTCACTACTGACAAAATGATTTGCAGTTAGTTTTTCCAAGTTAAACCACAAACATGGTAGGGAAGGAAAAATTTGCCCTTTGTACAAGCCAGTGTCTGTCCGCAGTTTTGAGGGTATCTGCATTCTTGCCAAAGTATTTGATGCATCTGCAGTAGAGTGCTTCAGAAGAAAGGAAAGAGGCGTTTTCAAAAAAGCAAATAAAACAGCTTTTAAAACTGTTGGGAAAGTTCCTTCCAGCAGAAAGCAGAAGACTCAAGATTGGCTCTGGAGCAGCCTTGTAAAGCCACTGTAATCTTTTGGCCCTGCCTCTTGTTTTGGTTGTTAAACCTTCAACTGTGGCTCTCCCATTACATTAGTTTGCCAGCAACACCGAGGGCCATTATATTTGGGCTGCTGGAAACATGCAGACCCATTTGTTTCCGTGCTATTTCTTTCAACAAGGCAGCTCTGCTGTTGTGCTTTCTAACTGCAGATGGGTCTTATTGTTTCCTGTATTGGAGTTAATTATCTATGTTTTTAAAGTGATTTTTTTTTTGTACTTACCACCTGTGTGTATTTTGCACTAGCAGGTGATCTTACTTGTGACTGGATTTTCCTCTCAGCATTCTCAAATGTTGCTTCTCTTTTGCTTTCAGTCCTTAGAATTCTTTCTTTTCCAGCATGCAGCAGGCCCGAAAACCTCCAAAAGAAATATTTGTATTTGAGATGTCTGGCAGAGAGGGCTTAGTCAGAAGAACAATACTTTTGTCAGATACCAATAGTAATTCATTGTCCAGGAACAGGCATATGAAATAGCTGAATGCTTTCATTGCCAGAAAAAACACAATCTTCTGCCCAGCCCGGACTTTGCTCAGCATAGCAAAGAGACAAGTCCTGCAGCTAGGCTAAGTTCTTTAAGAAGCCCTAGACTCAGCTCAGCTCTCCTGATATTACTGAAAGTCACGGCCATTACGAGAAGAGAGAGGCACCCTCTCAGCAGTAATTGTTCTCTTGAACTCTCAAAAAAAGGAGATAAACTTGCAAATATTTAAAAAAACAATGTTGAAATGGAGGGGGGCTTAAAATTACTGAATTCTGAAACACAGCTATTAAAACTTTTCTTCAAACTAAGTTTGCTGCTTAGCTTCAGCTATAGTAGCATCTACTTTAATTTGCTTGTAGGTAAGCAGTGGAGGTGAGGGAACTAACTGTTCCCAGACCCCTGCAGCCGTCAAAAGCTGAGCCTGCAGCAGGGGGTTAGGTGGATTGATTTGAGAATGGGAGGCAGGGAGGGAGGAAGGGAGGGAGGACTGTGCAGTTTATTACTGGACAACCACTGCCATCAGGTGTGCAGATGCTCTTTTTGTTCACAGCAGGTGAAGTAACACATGCAAGAGCGCATGAGCAAGTACAGGAGAATCAATGTCAAGAAAGGGAAAAGAAAGACTAATGCATTAAAAGAACCTCTCAAAGTAAACCCTTCATTCATTGAGAGATTTTTAAAAGCTGTTCTCCCTATGTTTTCAGGTATCGAAGAAGGAAAAGAAAAGCCAAAATTGGAGTGAACAACAAGAGGCAACACAGAGGATTGTTTATGGCTCCATGGAAGATTTCTCATCCCCAACAGAGGTCACCATGGAGAGGAATCTTTGGAAAGGAGGAAGTTTAATGGGCCTTCTGCTCAGTGCAAGGATATTTTTGGATTTTATATGGAGGGAAAATGATTTTAGCTAAAAATAATAATATCGTTTCAACCTTCATTCCTATTTCTCCATGCTTGCCTGTGACATACACATATAAGATGTATATTTATCTCCATGGCATTCTCAATGTGCATTTCTTGAATCAAATAAGTCATTAAATCATTAAATCATTAGATCACTTCTGCCAAGAAGAACGAGTCCATTCTCTGTATTGTTTGAGAAAAGCTTAACCAGATAGGTATAATGCAGGGAAACAAAACAATTCTACATATTTCAAAGTACAGCATACAAGTTAATTGCATGAATGTATCTAAAGAACAGTTCGGTTTGACTGAAATATCAATGTAACAGCTGCCTTAAATTTGTGATGTTAATAATTTTATCAGTCTAGTAAAATCTTATTTGCGGTGTTAGAATATCTTCTTAAATAGGCCTAAATAAAGAACAAATTATCCTTGCATTTCTGTTTCTTCATGCTGATTCTTGAAATTCTAGATGGATTGATGACATTTGAATGATATATTTTCAGGTTTTCCAGTGTCAGCTGTAGATTATATCAATTCTACATAAGGATTTTTCTTATTATCATAGTACAGCACGTGATTCTGCATTTTCAAGTTGTTAAGTTCTCAATAGATGGGCTGAGCTGCTAGTGTTGTACCAGAGAGAACATTTAAGCCTTACTTCAGGAAGGCAAGTAAGCAAATGTTTAAAGAAAAACATATGCCTGTTTGATTTAGGAATTCAGTTGCAAAATACTAGTGATTGTTTAAATTTTATGTGATTCTGCTTAATTATTAGACAATCAAGAAGGAACTCTAGAAGGCACAAAAAAATTGAAATAGAACTAAAATAAAGTGAAAGAATAATTTTCAGCAAGATGTTATTTGTTAAAAAAGTAGCTTTAAGATCCAAATATCAGTATTCATATTGCATATTTGTTCATTAGTGTATTTAGATATATTTATTTTAATACATGTAGAGCACTTCAAATATGGATAATGTTAATGTATTATATTTAGTAACAGGATTTCTGCAGAGTTTTAATCTGATTCAATGATGTTTCTGCTCTGCAGTAGCTCTGGGAAAGATGGATCTCATGCAACTCATTACCTACCTCCACAGTATTTTTTAAATGTACTTGTATTTATTTACAAACTACCATAGGAAACAGGATAAGTTCAACAGTATGCTTTTTGGTTTGTTTCCTTCAAAAGTAAGACTTTTTGATATTATTGTGATGATATTGTCTTTGTCTGTCTGTCATCTCGCTAATTTTTAACTTGTTGATCAAAGTTGCAAAGATTTCAAAGCTAAGCAGATTACTAGAAAGTTCATGGAAATAAGGGGCCAGATAAAGAAGGAGCTTCTCTGATGGTCCTACAGAGGGAGACGACAGGACACATAAAACCAGCAGAATTTGGGAGCAAATTTGCTGTAGCCATGTGGTCTTGCATCAGGGATGTTATGTTCTGCTATTCCTGAGCTGTGCATTACATATGCACAGTAATACTGCAGCATGATTGCTCGGTCCACAGATAATTGGTTGGAGGCGGTAAGATGTCTGTTATTTGCAACAGGCTTTTAAAACTCAGGAAGGAAAGAAGGCATGGATTCAGTCATGTTTAGTGAGCTAGGAACTGTTTAAAGTCACTGCCTCTGAAAGCTGTGGTAGCACATGAAAGTAGTGGTGGACAATGAATGTTCTAGGGGATCTGGCTGTACTTTCCAGCAGCAGTAACTATCTCAAACCATGACAGTAGCTTAGGGTGGGAAGCCCAAGGCACAAACCCTGTTGACTTTTTTGTCATATGAGGAATTTGCATAACGTATGTTCTGCTGTTAATCTGGGACATTTTTATTTTTCAAATTTTATTTCAGGGAAATTGTTTCCTTCACAGAATACAAGAATTCATTCTAGTGGAAAGAATGTGTTAAATAAAAATCAGAAGTGCCAAAATGCCACACAGCTGTACACATTCTTCTAGAGCACACTCTGATCATGTCTGCTGTATATATTTTACCACTGAATACTGAATGTCTGAGCCCTCAAAAACTGACGTTTATGGAAAGATTCCTCTTTCTCGGCAAGTTTTGCACCTTTTCAAGGTAGATTTTTTTTCTAATACCATGTCATTTTATGCAATATTGTAAATGTCATAAGAATATAAAGAGAACAGAAGTGTCAGAGATCAGAATTGCCTAGATGAATCCATAGGTAGGGGTCCAAGTGAAGGTACCCTTTCAGAGGTACAGCATAGGGACACTTAAAGTTGTTATCCTTCGTATCTGTGAATTTGTGAGTACTCAGCACCTCAAAAAATAGACTACCAACTCACTTAAGCCCCTGATGTTAGCCAAAGGCAATATATGCAACACAAAATGTGGTGGGTTTCATTTGGTTTAAAGAAATGTATAGTATTCCAAGAAGGTTCAAATTCAGTTTGTCTTCTAAAATCTCAAAAAGTTCTCTACCTCCTGTGAGCTTTAAGCTTAAAGTCAAAAACATTTTAAAACATTAAATCCAGCCTCTGATGTATGAACCATGATATAAATAACTTGAGGGCCTGTGTACCCAGAGAGCACTCTTCTAGACTGTGTTCATTCCCTTTAGGATTACACAATCCATCATTCTTAAGAAAGATGATGGATGAATGATGACTAAAGTAAAAGTCACTTGTAAACTTAACAAATTTCAACCATCTTGGCTGAAATTGTCCCTGAAAGGTATTTCTCCTGGGGGAGCTATTTTTTTGGTGGAAAACTTTTTGTCAGAACAAGTCATCTATTTCCAAGTGCAAGTCTATGAAAAAAAAAAGTCTGAAAGACTTTTCTCTACTTTTGCTGTGGAACTGAGTCTTTGGAAGAAGGACAGCATTTATGTTAGTAGCGTTTCTGAACTTACGGGGAATATATGTTCATCTTTGTCCAAATTTTAGGGGAAAAAAACCCCACAAACTTGCATTTCCCTGTATTGCACAGGTAATTCTCTAGAGTGTTTATCAACTTCAAGAATGATCTGTCTTGTCACTGAATAGGATTTTCCCTACCATCCCTGATCTGTTGACTCTCTCCATGCCTGACTACCCAACACACATACCAAAATGGGGACCCCAACTTTGCTTCCCATGTACTGTTAATACCTCCGCAAAGCTGATGCAGATAAAGCTGCCTCGACCAAATATGAGGGAAGCAAAGCTTTGATGAAAACCTGAGCAATGAGAATAGGTTTTAGATGGATAAACTAAGTGAAAAACTCTAGCTTTTCCCTTGAGAACTACAATAAAATTAATAGAAAACTGTGCAAAGGAATCATTGGTTTTGTTGTCAGAGAAGAGCATAACGTGCAGTAAATAAGGCAGGCTGCCACACCTTGAACCACAAGGAAAAGACAAAATACAGTTTCATCGTTCAGTGAGCACCATCCGTCATGAATGAGGAACAGGAAAAAATATTGTGGGATCATGTAATTAAAGGCAATGTCATTATTCATACTCAAAAGGGGCCAAATTAAGGTTGAACAGACAGCTCAAATGCTGACATTACCTCACTCTTCAGTGCCCAGCTTTCCAGTCTTAATAATATTCTGTTGACTTAGTAACAGAACGCAAAAAGGGGAGGGGCGGGGAAGGATTTTTTTTAAGGCTGGTTAGAAAGTCTAGCCACCCAGTTGTCATAAATTTCAGTATGACTGTGTCCCCTATTGGGCTTTAGAAGGTCATTCATACTTTCTACCTGCCTGTAGCTGCCCCAAAACATGTAACTCTGTTACAAAGAGGTTGCCATAATTTGCAAACTTGTGCCACGATTTCAAAATTAAATTGTTTTAGTCTGGGATTTGGCTTGTGTAGGCTAAAACTAGTTTGCTGTCTTTCTGTAGCAACCATTCCCTTATTTTAAAGGAAAATGACAAATATTTTCCCTAATTTTTAGTTGATTCTTTGCTTCTCTGCCCACAGGAGTAATATTAGCTAAATTATCTCCAGGGCACATCAAAGACATTTGGATACTGTGAGCGGACTGACAAATGGCAAGCCATTCTGCAGGCTCCCAGGTGGCAGTTTGTGGTGACAGTATATAAGGCAGGCACTTCTTGGTTCATTTTTCTTATTGGATTTATTTCAAATCCTAACAATTTATTCTTCGCCTTTTATTTTCTGTAAAGATTGGTCATTCTGCTCCGATATATACTTCAGTAGCCTGTGAAGACTAGGATATTGTTAGACTGAACACTGAAAAGATTTATAATCTGAAACTCGAGTGGATGTATAGTCCTGAAGAGACCATCATCCCAAGGTTAACATCACAGAGGCGTGTTTGATGTTCCTACCCTGGGCATAAAGGAAAAAGCAATAGGAGATATGTAGGTGAGGTCGCCTCTGAATGCAGCCTTGGAGAAGTTATGCTATTAATCCTATCTTTTAATGCTCCTATTTTCATGTAAATAGGGTCAAACGTTGGTGACAGGTATTTTGCATCTGCAGCAGCGAAAGAAATCTCCTAATCAAAGCATAGTGCATATTAGTAGACAAGGTCATCTCCACTAGGGTATCCCAGCTGCTCTGCTCCTATGGTTCAAAGCTTCATGTGCCACTGTAACCAGGTGCTTAAACTGGGATCGCAGGTGTTGCAGAGAAGGGAAGAAACCTGGAAGTTTTATTATATATATGGGCCCTTCTGTTCAGCCCCACATGTTCATATGTGCTGTAAAAGTGCCATTGTCTTCAGTATGTCTGACTGCAGTATTAAAACTGGGGTCTAACTATTGCCAAAGTCATAGGAAAAAAAAGCACCTGAAAGTTTGACTGATCAGTTCTCTACGTGCTCATTATCTCTCCTCTTTCTGAAGCAAGAACAAAGGGAAAATGAAACTAACCTGGAAAGTAAAAAGATCTAGCTGTTGACATCTGTTGAGAAAAGTCCTTGGTCAAGTGCTGAGCTCAAAGCACATGGCACAGGGTACTTCTGATTCCAGGGGCTTTGTTGAATGAGGGAGCAAGTGGACTTGCAGGTTGGGCACTTTCTGTAGTGCTTCTAATGGTGTAATGAAAGGAGTTTGGGCTTAGATTGAAAATAGGTCTTTTCAGCATAGTGACTTCCCCTTACTTGTATTATTTAAGTAACTAAGAAGAACAGAACTGTCCGATTTGCAGACCACAAATATCAAATATATTCAGCGTATATTCTCCAAAATGAGCAATTTTATTTTTATCAAAAATGCACTCTGTTTTGTTCAAGTAACTGATGGAAATCAATGGATTTTAATGTAACCCAGAAGAGCAAGTTGTAGTCTTATTCCCTTAAGTGCCCTTTTGTTGTTCAGACCACAGTTGTAAAGGAATTTGAACCTCAACACAATAAATGCCTGTACGGAAATTTGAGAGATAGGCCACAGACTTTGTGGCCCACTGGAGAAGGTATCTGCTGTTCCTTAGAGTTGTGTAAAATAAGACAGAAATG